AAAAAAAAAAATCGAATTTCAGATAGTCAAACATATAAAATATTTACATCGAATTTTGGAATACATTGCCGAGAACGCAAACAGGGCCAGAAGAGTGAAATATCAAATATGTTTGTATTTACCCCGGGCTATAGCTTTGAATGTCACCACAACGGAAAAAATATACGGGCGAAATCCACGAATCGAACGTGAGGCCTGCCGCACCCAAAGCGGCAATCATACCACTAGACCAATTTCGTTCGATTATCATTTGAATATTTGTATTTTATAATATGTTTAAAATATTTATTGTCAATTTTTTTCTCGATATTCACATAAAATGTAGTGGCCGGCAAGAAAACACATGACCAAGCGTTTTCCCGTTGTATTATTAAAGCTGAATTCCAAGTGAATAAAAGTACATAATCGAAACCTCGTGTTCGAGATCCGGTAGTGACGGTGATTGCTTTACGTATCAGCACAAGGGGGCGAAACATGACCGTATCGTCTTACGATTTAGTGGTGTGATAGTGCATAAGTGACGGCTGTGGTGCCAGTGATGATCCGATGGCTACATGGTGACTGTTTACCGTAACTACACAATGTTGAAGCGAATTGATTAAAGGCTGGAATTTAGTAGTGGCAAGACACGTTTTGTTTTCGGGTATCACGTGGACTATGAACACGCCATATTGAACAATACTACGAATAAAATCTGCTTATGTGTTACGAACGCACTGAGTTTTCGCAATTATACCGTCGTCATATACCTGGGCGGCTATTACACGATGAACTTTTTCAAATGAACTTTTTCAAATTAGATTCACAAACGCGTGTTTGAGTATTCTGCATCTCCAGTATTAAGAGTTATTAAGAGTTGAATTGATTGACCGAAACGCAAGCTTCCATACATTCCTCACTATTTTTTTCAGCTATGCCGGTGTACATACAGCTATATACGTACAAGAATTGCGCAGACGAAATTAAACTACAGAAATAAATCTTTTGTATCTAAAGGAATACAATTCTAGTGACCGGATGTGTCTCTAGCATTCACTCACTCTCTAGAACGAGAAACGAATTTTGCATCAGCCTGGTACAATTGCGAGTATTTTGAGTCCAGGTGGCAATATATGTTGTTCACGTCTGGAAGGTCAATACGTGTGTTCTGCATTCTGAAAAATGACAATCATATAGCCAAGTCTAATAGCCTCCTACTCAAAAAGAGAGTACACTTTATGTTTTGATTAGTTGGTTTTGCGAGATTTAGATTGGATCTCAGATACCTGTATTCATTGTTTCTGCCAATTATAAATCATAGTACTTTTAATTCGAAGCTGTCGCTGATGATGTGCAGGTCAAGAAAATTTAATTCGTAAGTACTGTCTAGCACATAAAGGTTTCTTCAAACTGATTCCATACATATGTTTCTTCGGTATGTACCTTTTGTTTGATAATATAAATGCCACATTGAAACCAGAGTTGACAGTGGTCAGTGGGGCACCGAAATCATGAATAATATCATTCATGTCGAGTTGATTGTCAGCAAAACCGCATACTAAATAAATCTATATATACCCACGCTCCGAGGGAATCGTCCTCTCCGGTGTCTTGGTGGTATATAACCAAAAATGG